TATATGTCATTATTATTTTCTGGTCATAGAGCCCAGAAACTTGAACATGCTAAGCAAGAGCACCAACATGAGCTGCATTACCATTCATAAACATATCCATTAATACTTAGGAATTATGTGATTCTATCTTATTTAGTAAGAACTGATTTGCTCAATTCAAAGATAATGCCTATATGTGCCTTCTGTTTAGGAGTTTACAGCGTTCAATGATTAACATTCCTAGGTAATTGCCCTCAATTTGGAAGTGTAAAAAGAGAGATTCTATGATAATAAATGTAATAAAAAGTTTAAAATGTTAAAGAACCATTGCATTTTCTTGACTATTTAAATATTTCATAGATACTCATTTATTCAGGAAATACTGTTTTTAAATTTTCTCAAGTTTTCAAGGCTTTACATCTTAGACAGTACTTCTGTTCTTTTTAGCACACATTGCTCTTTATATTTTTCATTACATTTTATATTAATATAGTATATTTTTATTGTCTTTAGATCCTCTACTCTCTTCACAATTTAATGTACACTACTGCATATATTATCTATCTATATATTATATATATGTGTGTATAATGCCTATGTAGTCTAATTTGTGTCTCCAAATATCCATTAGTGTGGGTCCATCTACTGGAACCTGGTTATCTTACTAATAGTCACTTCCTTGAAAGGTACAGACTCTCCCTCCCAATAGTCCTCAGGTACAGTGAGGTTTCTTATTACTTGACAGTGTCTATGGTGATATCTTGTCTGGCCTAAGCTTGCAAGGAACTTGTACATGCCGTCACCATCCTGTGAGCTTATTTGAGTAACAGATGAGCTACTTGAAAAACTCTATTTCATTGTGGTCATCTACAATCCCTAGCTCTAAAAATCTTTCAGCCTCTTCTCCCATAATGATCCCTGAGCCTTGGGAGGTAGAAGATTGATGTAAGTGTCTTATTCATGGGTCAGCTCTCTTCAGTTTCTTTTTCTCTGGATGTTGTGAGTTTCTATGTTAATCCCCAACTACTGCAGAAGGAAATGAAAGTTAGTAATGCTTAATCTATGAGTATAACAATAAGTCATAAGGAATCAATTTAATATTATTATTATTTAATAGAAAACTACTAGTAGGCTTTCCCCCATTTCTCATTACCTATCCAGCCTAAGGTTCTTAGGCCTGATATCAATGTCAGGTATGGGTTCCATCCTATGAAGCAGACCTTAAATCCAATTTGGAAGTGGCTGCTTACTCCCATAATATTCAAGCCACTATGGCACTGGTTGGGCATTTGCCAGACCAGTTGCTGTAGTTCACAGGACTCACAACTGGGTAAGGTGATGATTAAATTTCTCTTCCAGCAGCATGCATAGCACATTTCATCACTATGAAAGGTAGCCAGTAGTGATGAGACTTTAAAATTAATATCAAATTGCTTTCTCCTTGCTTGTTCTTTTGCTCATGTAGAATCTTCATCAATAGGGTCTTACCATGAAATTCTGGTGGGTAACCAAGAGGAGGGGCAATGGTCAATATTGTTTGAGGATCTATGTGGGTCCTGGTCAACAGCTTCAGAGAAAGAAAGTCCATTTCTGACAATGGAGCTTTATTTTCCTAGCCTATGGTGTCTGTAGGGACAATGTCTTCCTGTGCCAAGCATCTCTTTTTAATCTCTTCTCATAATGTGTATATATTTATATATATATGAAGCTTCTATAGAGTTAGGGTCCATATGGGTTTTTCTAAGGGTCTTTGGTATTGGTTATCCCTCCCCATACTCTATTAAGTTTTCTTGAGCATATCAGATTTCATTCATTATGATGTGTGGTTACATCTGAGTACTTTTATTCTTAATTCCCTCAAGGATTACACATATATTTTACTATTCAAGACACATAAGAGAGACACTTTAGTTTCACTGAATAGTTTCTTTAAATATGAGGGCTTTGAAACAGTCACACAATCCTCTTTGGTAAAGACTTACTGTGTTCCAGGTGTGATATCACATAGGACATTTTTCAAGGTATAGGAATACATTGACAATAGTAGTAACAGAAACAAAATCATAAACAAGAACTTTTCTGTCATAGAACTTTCAAGTGGCAGCATGTGATATCAGAAAACACACACACACACACACACACACACACACACACACACACACATCCTATTCCAAAGTGAAACATAAAAGATCCAGTAGGAGAAGGAAAGTGAGGCCAAATTTCAATTTAAATCACTAGTCAGGCAGTTTGCTGAAACCAGAATGATGTTCTGAGCCTGTTCCCAAGAGGAAGTCACAGTGAATGGATCTTTCAAATTATAGTGAAAATGTAAAAGACATTCATTCCTAAGGTAAGGAAGTGTTGAAGTTTTTGGAACAACTAGAAGTTACTTTCTATAATGTTATATTGAGGGTCCAGCAGTGTTTCTAAAGATTTGATGACAACTCTAGGCCAAGCCTAGAGTTATAATATATTATTATTTTGCTCTTCATACTAGTGCCTGTCACATTGCAGGGACCTAAATACACAGAAAGATGGTTACCTCGTAAGTTGCTTAAGAAGTCAATGAGGAAGTTTTTATGGGTAATAATGCAATAATAATAGGAACTGTATTACTTTTTTAAAGGAGTCATAAGAATATCTTCTAAGATGGATAGAGAGCTGCAAGATACATACTATGTAATTATTCAAGCCAAAGACATGCTTGGTCAATGGGGAGCCTTGTCTGGAAAAACAACTGTATCAATTAAGCTATCAGATATCAATGACAACAAGCCAATATTTAAAGAAAGTAAGTAGAAAACATCTTGGTTTCCATTATAGTTTAAAACTGTGCTGAATATGCATATATGTTAAAATTTTCACTCTAAAAACTTAACTTCAACAACATTAAGAATTTCCTAAAATAAATAGGATAATTTTTCTAAGTTTTAATTATTTTCAATGAATGGAAATTGTCAAATAGAAAAAAAAGAATGATGTGTTTGTGCTCTATTGCCGCAGTCACACAGTGCAACAAGCTTCGTAACTGAAAATTCATTTACAGTCTTTTGTGTGTGTGTCTCTGTGTGTGTGTGTGTGTGTGTGTGTGTGTGTTGTTTGTGTGTGTTTCTCTATGAGTTTAAAGATGCTAAGATTTTCATTTTACACAGCTTGCCCCAGCTGTCCTGGAACTCACTATGTAAACCAGGCTGGCCTCAAACTCACAAAGATCCTCCTGCTTCTGCCTCCCAAGTGCTGGGATTAAAGGCATGCACCACCACGCACGGCCTTTTACTGTCTTTAAAAAGTTTGGTATGGGTCTCACTAAGATATAATGAAATGTCAAGGGACTGTTTCTTCTTACAACTCAGGCACAATCCATTTCCTTTTCATTTGAGTTTTGTCATTCGTTCTTTGTGTTTCTAGGACTGGAGTCTGTTTCCTTAATGGCCATTAGCTAGGGGACACAGGAAATTCAAAGGCCCTAATTGCTTTTGACAGTTCACACATCTTAGAGTCATCAAAGTATACTAAACATTTCTCACAATGACATCTCTCTCACCAATATTTTTTCATCTTTTTCCACTTTAAAACACTTTCATGATTTCAGAATAAATGCTCTGTATCAAGATCACCTGATTAGCAATTTGAACTCTGCCAACAACCTTGAAGTTTTGGCTGCTTTAGGTAACACATTCATGGATTCAGGGAGAATTGACATGGATACAATAGTTCTTCTGTGTATCAGAATAATTTAGCATGATATCTTATTTTTCATTTTTTGCAGCAATATCAAGCCACAATTGCTTTGATCAGTTAATTAATAAATGCATATAACTCTCACATGAAATTTCATTTCAAGGAGGTATTTTCATCACGTATCTGCCTTAGGTAGAGAAATACATTGGTAAACTTTTCTAGAAAGCATGGACAATGATCATAATAAGCAGAAATTTGGTAAGCATGGAATCTAGAATATATGTATATATGTAAATGTCACAAAAAATTAATAGATATTGATTATAGATATGCAGAAAGAAAATTAGAATTTTTATTGAGTTTTTAAAATTTCATACAGTATTTCCCACTTACATCCAGACCTCCCCCCCATCCATGCCTCCCCCTTTCCCTCCACAAACCCTATGCACTCTGCCATACTTTCTGAGTCCTATTCATTCAGTGTTTGTACCCAAATGTCCAATGGAGTCTAGTCAGCCCATCCTGTGGTCGTTTGTAAGTCATAGTCTCCCTTGTACAGAAGCAATCAGTCTCAAGTAAACAAGGACCCAAAAGGGAGGTGAGAAGTAGGTGGCAGGAATAATAGAATATTTGTTTTAAATTAGTGTTATCACCTCTAATAATTAGCATGACATAAATTTCCATGCTTCCTCCTCAAATATAATACATTTTTTAAAAATTTGCTAATATTTTTTGTGTATGCATGTATATCACACAGAACATCCCAAGCCATCTTATTCAACTATACACAAACTTCCCAGATGGCACACTCCCATAGCCTTGAAATCTACCTGATGACTTTATAGACATATGTAGGTGCCAAGGACCCAAGTGCAACTGATTATGACTAGTAATAATCAGATACATACAGAATAGAGATGCATGTGCCAACATCTCAGTGTTAGTAACAAAAACAATGAGTCTTTCTGCAAGGAACAATATATTCTAAAATGAAATAGACATCTTTTTTAAAAGTTAAAAACTCATTCAATTTTATGTCTTAAAATGCTTATACTGAGTTCAATATTGTATAACTGTATTAATTCAAATATGACCCTAGAAACTTACACCCACTTGTGAAAGAGATGTACTTTTGCTCTGGAGTATGTTACTGAATATGTTAAAGCTGTAGTGAAATGTTTCTTCTAATCATGTAGTTATTAAAATTTTTTTAAATGATAAAAAATAATTCTTCAAAGCATAAAAATTTTTTCCTTAATAACTAGTAGATGTGAAAAAGATTATCAATGAAATCTACCTGATGACTTTATATCCATGCTCAGATGCCAAGTACCTCAGAAAGTAATGAACTGTGACTAGTAATAATCAGATATATAGAGATTAGGAAGGCATGTGCAAACATCTTAATGTCAATTGCATTACAAATGAATTTTTGTGTATGAAACTGTGTATTTTAATAATGAAATAGAGATCTTTTTAAAGGTTAAACCCTCATTTAAATTTATGTCTTATAGGGTTTATACTGAGTACAATATTGTATAACTGAAATAATTCAACTGTAAACCTATATTAGAGTCTGATTTGTGTCTCCAAATGTCCTTCAGTGTGGGTCCATCCCCCAGGCCCATCACAAGTCAAATCCTTATAAGTCACTGCCTTTCTCCCTCCCCCAAACCATCCATTGCTAAGAGTTCCTTAGGTTGGTTGGTTTGGGGTTTCTTATCTACTTCCCCATGTCTATGCTGGAATTTTGTCTGATTTGTGTATGTATAAGATTTATGCATGCTCTCACTCACTGCTGTAAGTTCAATTAAGTAAAACCACTCAATGTCAGGGAAATCATGTATGGTACCATAAACATAGACAATATGCATATGGCTGGAGAGCTCATAGGTCCTAGAGAAAAACTTATTTTGCCACATCCCTCGACCAACCTGATTTCTTTCTTTAGTCCAAATATGCAACCTCATATTTAAGGACAAGTATACCTTTATCCCCTCACCAAAAAAAGATACTTTCTGCAACAGATGTACCATTATAGAGTTCCAGAACTGGCAAATGCATGGAATAAATGGCTGTGGGACTCTTAATCTTAGATGACGCCTCTTGAATGCAACCTCTATACATAGGGTGAATGCATCTCTTAACTCTCACCAGAGAATTTTCCTTATACAACAGATGATTATCGCAGAATCCTACAATTGGCCAATGTTCAGAGAAAAAGAGGCCACAGAGTACTTATCCCTGGATAGGACACCTATATCAGTTGTCTGCTTGCCAAGCACAGGGATCACCACAGAAGAGGCAGAAAGATCTTAGGAGTCAAAGGGAGTGATGACCACAAGGAAATAGAGTTCTAGGCAGCTGCTTATTTACCCCAAACTTTTTTTTGATCTCCTTTACTCTCTTTCCCTTTCTTCAAAAATATTCATTTTCCTGATTTTCTTTTTTTTTCATTAGCAGCAGGTAGCCAGCACCAATAACTTCAGGTAGATGACAACATAACAATTTGTTTGCACATCCTATATTTTCTAATCATAGCTGTGGATTGTTTGAATTGATATTAATATATATCCTTGTACAGAAATGCACACCTCTAAATAATATAACAGTTGTTTAAATGAGTCATTTTTCGACAGACCCAGATTGATTCAATTTTGCAGCCTAGCAGAAAAGTTTATGCAGCACATAATGAAATTTTTCTAAACAATATAAACAACATATATAGCACTGTTCCTTTCAGATTATAATAGAGTTTCTTCCACTGTTTATGTTGTACACTTTTTATTATTATTTTTATGCATAAAGTATATATTGCCTGAATGCATATAAGGGCACTCGTGTCATGTAATGCACAAGGAGATCAGAGGGGGTTGTCAGATCCCCTAGAATTGGAATTACAGACAGTTGTTAGCTGCCCTGTGGGTGATGGTAATTGAACCTGGGTTCTCTGCAGCAGCAGCCAGTACTCTTAACTGCTGAGCCATATCTCCAGACCCTTATTCTACACTTTTAAGGAACACAGCAAAACAGTGTTTTCCTGACATGCCAGAGCCATGGCAGGACCCTAGTGTTTACCCAGACCCCTGCAGAAGGTGTTAGGCCCATGTACTTATCGGTAGCACTAAGTGGAATCAGCAGTTCAAGCACATAGATTTGGGAGGGAAATGTGGGGCAGGTATAGAGAGGAATTGAAAGTGAGGAAATGGGGAATGAATTTGATCAAAATATCAGAAGTATTATTGAAATTCTTAAACAATAAATAAAAACTTAGCACGCTTAATTGAGCTCTTGCTGTAGCCTGTCCTGTCCTTCAAAACTCTGACTCTTTGATATTTTCACATCTCAATTAATATCAAGATCATTTTCATATAACATATAGAAGTCATAACTTTTCAATCCACTTACTGTGTATGTGAAGAATTAATGGTTCAACTCACACTACACAGGACAAAGGCAAGTTTTTTTTTTAAGCTTTTAAGTTTTCTGGTAGTTCTAGTTTTCAATATTTTGTGAGCAAATAAACAAAACTTTCACTCCCACATCACATCACATTTTCCTTGACACTCTAAAAAATGTTTTCTAAAGTTTTCAGACTCATTTTTTTTTTCATATTTTTTTTCTGTAGACCAAAACTTCATTGGTCTGAGTATTCTCTTGATTCTGCCTTTAAAAATAATTCTGAGCACTTCCTACACCTTTCATTCCTACTACCTTGGTTCATATCAACACCTTATTTTCTCTCTACTGTCACAATTTGCTCTGATCTAATACCCCTGGCCATAACAGTGTTCTCTTTTCCTTATTCAACACAAGTTTAGTAATGGCAAAATGCACAGCAGATCTTATGACTGCAGTGTCCATCTCTTTCATGGAAAATATCAGAGTCCTTGATGTGAACTAATTGGTTTATAATTGATACTCTAAAAGGATCTGTCATTGTCAACCCTGCCATGACCACTTGAAACAACCTCCGGATTCTGGTCTCTTCTCTCTTCTCAGAATACACCATGTACTTTTAATCTTTCTGATATATTATTTCCTCAGATATACAATGGCTTATTTCAATATGTACCTGCCAAAAGTCATGTCCATATGAATGATTTTGTTGCTTCTTAGTTAAAACAAATATCATTTAATAAAATCTCAGTAATATTTTAGTCCAAAGACTTTCCTTTCAAATTTATGTTTACATGCCACTATTTTCTTCAAGGTGTTAATTTCTGTAATCATATTGATGTATCTTTTTCATAATAAAAGAGGTGTTACTGCACAGGTTACACTCACCCTTAAAATGGTGACTGGTTTCACTTGGAAGCATGGAGGAAATATTCCTTCTGTGTTGACCTTCTTCTTTGTAGACTGGTTACTGGTTCAAGTACATTTGGTGGGGTCTCCACGGCCTCCTTGATCAAGATGACAGGTGACTCACCACAGTTACAAGAAATTTTGAGAGATGCTCGTAGTCCTTTTGACCTTAGTAGACCTAGAAGGGCAAGGAGAAAGAACTGTCCTTTAAGCCCCTCTGACCAGATTAATATGAGCTTCAAAGTATGGCTCTTAAAACATCCAAGAAGGTGAGTTCGACCAGTCTGGTACTTTTAATTACCACGTTCTATGTAGATAAAGCTTGGGCAAAGAACAAAGGTTCTCAGATAAACCTTGCTTAGACATATATTATGCTCGAGCTAGTTGTGTGCATAATTTGTCAGTCGGTTGTGGGATTAATATTGTTCCCTCTGGAAACTAGTTAGGCATTATTTATCTTTTTCATTGTCTAACACTTCCACCATGGCTTCCCAGTTAAAGTGCCCCCATTTTTCCCACTTCTGCCTTAATAATATTCTTCTCCTATGGTCCCACCTCTTCTGAGCTCCTTCTTTCCCTTTATCCCCAAGTTTCCTTGTATAACCCTCTCTTCCCCTTCCCCTTAAAATAACCCCATTTGTATCCATATCTCCCTTATTGACACCTGTTTCCTACTGTTCTTCTCTTTCAGATTCTTTCTTTTCCTTTATCTCCCTGATTCCTTTTCATTATCCTGGTTCCTATAGTTATGTCTGGATACATACTTATAATGATTTGTGCCAAGATTCACAAATGAGGGAGAACATACATCGTTTTTTTTTTTTAATTTTTTTTCTGTGTCTGTGTATTTCACTTAGTGAAACAGTTTCTAGTTCCATTCTTCTCCCTCAAATTTCATTATTTTATCTTTACTGTTGAGTAACTCCATTGTTTAAATGAACCACATTTTCATTATCCACTCGTCAGTTGAGGACCACTTAGGTTGCTTCCATCTCTTAGCTATTGTGAAAAGAACAGCAACAAACATGGACATACAAGTGTCTTTGCAATACGATGAGTTCTTTGGGTATATGCCAAGGAGTGGTATAACTGGGTAAAGTGGAAGGTTCATTTTTAGTTTTTTAAGAGTTTTCCACACTTCCTTCCATAGGGATTGAACAAGTTTACAATCCCACCAGCAGTTGATGAGTGTTCCTCCTTCCCCAAATCTTCTCCAACATTTGGTATCATTTGACTGGGGTAAGATGAACTCTTAAAATGGTTTTAATTTGCATTTCCCTAATTACTAGTGACGTTGAACACCTTTTAAGATACTTCTTCACTATCTTTATATCTTCTTTTGAGAACTCTCTGTTCAATTCTTTAGCCCATCTTTTAGTTATTTTACTTCCTTTCCTGATTCTTTGTTTTTTTGAGTTCATCATATATTCTGGATGTAATAAACCTCTGACAGGTGTGTTGCTGGTGAAGATTTTCTCCCATTCTGTGGGTTTTCTCTTCACTTCCCTGGTTGCCTCCTTTGATGTACAGAAGCTATTGAGTTTAATGAGGGCTCATTTGTTGATTCTTGACCTTGTTTCCTGAGCAATTGATGTCTGGTTTAGAAAATCCTTTCCTACACCTATATGTTGTACATAATTGCCAAAGTTTTCTTCTCATAGTTTCAGAGTTTCATGCTTCACATTGAAGTCTTTGATCCATTTGGAGTTGATTTTTGTGCAAGGTGAGAGATGGGGATTTAGTTTCATTCTTCTACAGGTGGAGATCCAGTTTTGCCAGCACCGTTTGCTGAACATGCTGTCTTTCCTCCAGTGAATGTTCTTGGCCCCTTTGTCAAATATTGAGGGGCTGAAATTACATATACTCATATTTGGGTCTTCAATTTTGTTCCATTGAGCTATGGTCTATTTTTGTGCCAGTAGTATGCTGTTTTTATGACTATTGTTCTGTAATACAGTTTAAAATCTGCTATAGTAATCCCCCCAGCACTGTTCTTAGTGCTCAGGGTTTCTTTGGCTGTCTGAGGTCTTTCGTTCTTCCCTATGAATCTTAGGATTTTTTTTTCCAATTCTGTGAAGAATGTCTTGGGGAAATTGAATGGCCTTGCATTGAATCTATAACTGGCTTTGGTAGGATGGTCGTTTTCACAATATTACTTCTTCCAATCCATGAGCATGGGACGTCCTTCCATCTTCTGATATCTTTCTCAATCTCCTTTAAAGATATAAAATTTTCATCGTATAGGTCTTTAATGTCTTTGGTCAGGTTTTTTTCTGAGACATTTTATTATTTATTTATTTATTTATTTATTATTTTCCAGCTATTGTGAAAGGGCATATCTCCATGTACTCTCTCTCTCTGATTCATGGCTTGTTATTGGATTATAGAAAGGCTACAGACTTTTGTTGATCAATTTTGTAATCTGCTGCTTTTTCACATAGATGGAACTGGTTTAAAAAAAAAAAAAAAAAAAAAGGAGCCAGAGGCTCCTCCCAACCCCGTGTGACCCCTGAGGAATAGATCCTCAAATGACCTAAAGGATAAAAAAATTTGTTTATCTGGGCCAACATTATGGCCTTAAACACACGAAAGCAAAGTATAACCAACAATTAAGGGATCAATATAATTCTTTAAAAGTCCATGTGTATAGCTAAAGGCTACATCACAAGGAACAATGCCAGACAGGTGATATCTTCCTTTGATTTGTTGGCCAGGTTGGCCCAAGAGACTCCTGGATAGTAACCCAGAATAGAACTTGGAAAATGAACAGCAGACCGCAATCTTATCTAAAGGAATATTGGCAACTAGTTTTTGCTAGATGAGGAATGGCTGATCTTCCTAAAACAAAGATCTCTAGATAGGCTGACTAGATTCAGCAGATGGACAAACACTGGGGAATGGCTGGGGTGCCAACAACACAGTGGACAGTAACAGGGATGACAGAGTGTATGGGCTCCAGTGGGGTGAGGGGAGGCTATGGGAGGGTGCTCTTTTGGTTGTGGGTATATACATGAATAAGATTGTCTGGGATGTTCTATATGAAATACAAAAGAAATCAACAAATAAGAAATGAGTTATATTTGAGGAAGAAGCATAAAAATTTGCTTCATGTTAATTAGTAGAGGTGAAAAACATTACCCTTGAAATCTACCTGATGATTTTATACCCATGCTCAGGTGCCAAGAATCTCAGAAAGTAACTGACTGTGAATAGTAATATTCAGATACATAGAGATTAGAGACTCATGTGTAAACGTCTAAGTTTTAGTTGCA